TCCACAAATCCAGCCCTACAGAAAGTGCCTAGAAGGAAAACCCCAACACAAGGAAGCTAACTGTATCCACAAAAACACACGCAACAGATAACCTCACACCAACAAAACCCAAAGAAGGGAAACACACACACTACCACAGAAAAATAACAGGAATTGACGATCACTGGTCATTAATATCTCTTAATATCAATTGACTCAATTCACGCATAAAAAGACACAGGCTAAGAGAATGGATACAAAAGCAGGATCCATCCTTCTGCTGTATACAAGAAACACACCTCGACCTCAAAGAAAGACATTACCTCATAGTAAAGGGTTGGGAAAAGGTTTTCCAAGCAAACGGACCTAAGAAACGAGTGGGTGCTATCCTAATAACTAACAAAATAGACTTCAAACTAAAATCAATCAAAAGAGATGGACAAGGACATTTATACTCATAACAGGAACAATTCATTAAGACGAAGTCTCAATCCTAAACATCTATGCCCCAAATACAAGGTCACCCACATATGTAAAAAAAAATTACTAAAGTTTAAATCACACATCAAACCCCACACACTAATAGTAGGAGACTTTAAACACTCCACTCTCACCACTGGTCAGGTCAATCAGAGAGACACCTAACAGAGAAATAAGAGAACTAACAGATATCATGACTCAAATGGAATTAACAGACATCTATAGAACATTCCACCAAAACACAAAAGAATATACCTTCTCAGCACCTCATGGAACCTCCTCTAAAATTGACCACATACTTGATAACAAAGCAAACCTCAACAGATACAAAAAAAATTGGAGTAACCACCTATATCTTATCAGATCACCATGTCTTAAAATTAGAATTCAACAGTGACACTAATTTCAGAAAGCCCACAAACACATGGAAATTAAACAGTGATCTACTGAACCACCCCTGGGTCAAGAAAGAAATAAAGAAAGAAATTAAAGACTTCCTAGAATTCAACAAAAATTAAGACACAACACATCCAAACCTATGGGGCATTATGAAAGCAGTGCTAAGTGGAAAGTTCATCGTACTAAGTGCCCACATAAAGAAAGTGGAGAAGGCTCACACTAGTGACTTAACAGCACACCTGAAAGTTCTAGAACAAAAAGAAGCAGACTCACCCAGAAGAGTAGAAGACAGGAAAAAAATCAAATTGAGGTGTAAAATCAATTAAATAGAAACAAAGAAAACAATACAAAAAAATCAATGAAACAAAGAGCTGATTCTAATCAACAGACAGAGAGAGAACATCCAAATTAACAAAATCAGTAATGGAAAGGAGAACATAACAACAGACACTGAGGAAATCCAGAAAATCATTAGGTCACACTACAAAAACCTGTACTTCACAAAATTGGAAAATGTAAAAGAAATGGACAATTTTCTGGAAAGGTACCACATACCAAAATTAAATCAAGACCAGGTGGACAATTTAAACAGACCTATAAACTGCAAGGAAATAGAAACTATCACCAAAAGTCTCCCAACCAAAAAAAGCCCAGGGCTGTATGGTTTCAATGCAAAATTCTACCAGAACTTCAAAGAAGAGCTAATACCTATACTCCTCAAAGTGTCCCACATAATAGAAACAGAAGAAACATTGCCAAACTCTTTTTATGAGACTACAATTACCCTGATACCAAAACCACACAAAGACTCAACCAAGAAAGAGAATTACAGAACAATATCACTCATGAAGATAGACGCAAAAATACTCAATAAAATACTGGCAAACAGAATCCAAGAACATATAAAAAAAAATCACCCACCATGATCAACTTGGCTTCATCCCAGAGATACAGAGATGATTCAACATACAAAAATCCGTCAATGTAATCCACCATATAAATAAACTGGAAAAAAAAAGCCATATGATCCTCTCGTTAGATGATGAAAAAGCATTCAACAAAATCCAACACCCCTTCATGATAAAGGTCTTGGAGAGATCAAGGATACAAGGAACATATCAAACATAATAAAACAATACACAGCAAGCCAATGGCCAACATTAAATTAAATGGAGAGAAACTCAAAGCAATTCCACTAAAATCAGGAACAAGACAAGGCTGTCTACTCTCTCCATGTCTATTCAACATAGTTCTTGAAGTTCTGGCTAGAGAAATAAGACAACAAAAGGAGATCAAGGGGATACAAATTAGAAAGAAAGAAATCAAACTTTGGTTATTTGCAGATGATATGACAGTGACCCCAAAAGTGACCCCAAAAACTCTACTAGGGAACTCCTAATAGAACTTCAGTAATGTAGGGGGACACAAGATCAACTAAAAAAAAATCAATAGTCCTCCTTTACAGAGATGATAAATGGGCTGAGATCAAAATCAGAGAATCATCACCATTCACAATAGCCACAAATAACATAAAATATCTTGGGGTAACACTAACCAAAGAATTTTGACAAGAACTTTAAGTCTTTGAAGAAAGAAATTGAAAAAGATACCAGAAAATGGAAAGATCTCCCATGCTCTTGGATAGGTAGGATCAATATAATAAAAAAGGCAATCCTACCAAAAGCAATCTATAGATTCAATGCAATCCCCATCAAAATTCCAACACAATTCTTCATAGACCTTGAAAGAACAAAACTCAACTTCATATGGAAAAACAAAAAAAACAGGATAGCCAAAACAGTCCTATACAATAAAGGAACTTCCGGAGGAATCACAATCCCTGACATCAAACTCTACTACAGATCTACAGTATTGAAAACAGCTTGGTATTGGCATAAAAGCAGAGAGGTCGATCAATGGAATCAAATCAAAGACCCGGATATTAATCCACACAGCTATGAACACCTGATTTTTGACAAAGAAGCTAAAATTATACAATGGAAAAAAGAAAGCATCTTCAACAAATGGTGCTGGCATAACTAGATGTCAACATATAGAAGAATGAAGATAGATCCTTATCTATCCCCATGCACAAAACTCAAGTTCAAGTGGATTAAAAACCTCAATATAAATCCGACCACACTGAACTTGATAGAAGAGAAAGTGGGAAGTAGCCTTCAATGCATGGACACAGGAGACCACTTCCTAAATACAACACTAGTAGCACAGACACTGAGAGGCACAATAAATAAACAGGACCTCTTGAAACTGAGAAGCTTCTGTAAAATAAAGGACACAGTCAATAAGACAAAAAGGCAGCCTACTGAATGGGAAAAGATCTTAACCAACTCTACCTGAGACAAAGGATTGATCTCCAAAATATATAAAGAACTCAAGAAATTAGACATCAAAATTCCAAATAACCCAATTAAAAATGGGGTACAGAACTAAGCAGAGAATTCTCAACATAGCTGAAAGACTCTTAAGGAAATGTTCAACATCCTTAGCCATCATGGAAATACAAAACAAAACAACTTTGAGATACCATCTTACACCAGTCAGAATGGCTAAGATCAAAAACACTGATGACAGCTTATGCTGGAGAGGATGTGAAGTAAGGGGACACTCCTTCATTGCTGGTGAGAGTGCAAACTTGTACAACTATTCTGGAAATCAATATGGTGGTATCTCAAAAAATTTGGAATCAATATACGTCAGAACCCAGCAACACCACTCTTGGGCATATACCCAAAAGATGCTCAGTTATACTACAAGGACATGTGCTCAACTATATTCACAGCAGCATTATTTGTAATAGCCAGAACCTGGAAACAACCTAGATGCCCCTCAAACAATATTCCCTTTCTTTTAATTACAACCCACATTGGGGGGCTGGAGAGATGGCTCAGAGGTTAAGATCATTGCCTGCTCTTCCAAAGGTCCTGAGTTCAATTCCCAGCAACCATGGTGGATCACAACCATCTGTAATGAGGTCTGGTGCCCTCTTTTGGCCTTCAGGCATAATGCAGAAAGAATATTGTATACATAATACATAAATAAATATTTTTTTAAAAAAGCAACCCACATTGGGGAGGCCACTAGAACAGGTGTTTGGTGCCCAAAAATCCCCTGGAGAGCTGATAGTGGAAAAAGACACCTTTGTATTCAGGGAAAATGGACTTCAGTTCTGGATTACCTTAAAAGGAAGCTGGCAGTGGGTAACTCACCCTTACTTAGAATGTTCCAAAAACACAAGAAAAGTTATATACAATAGTAAGAGTATATTAGTTATAATACTAATAAACACAAAAATAAGTAGTAAAAATAATACTGCTTTGTGCTTCTTTAGTATAACCTTTCATGAAGATTAAAATGTTTGAAAGTGATTAGCTTAAAAACCACTTGGTAATATTCTCAAAATAGCAATTATGTTGATCTTCAAACACTTGATGTATACTTCACAATGAAGTGTGACCCTTTCAAAATATATAATCATTAAGCAATTAGTACAACATCCTGTGAAAAGAAAAGTACACAGGCACAACATTTAAAACAAATTCATGAGAAAAACCAGCCATGAAAACGATCACCAAATAGCAGAAATCAGCTAGTGTTGTGGCTAAAGGGGAAAGTTAAAAATCATAATCCGGGTAGGACTAGAGAGCTGGGTCAGTGAACAAGAGCACTGGCCACTACTGCAGAGGACCCTGGGTTAATTCTTAACATCCACACAGTGACTCACAACAGCCTATAATTCCAGTTCCAGGGAGTCTGATACCCTCTTCTGACCTCTATGGGCATGTACATGGTATATGGATACACATGCAGACAAAACACTCATACACATAAAATTTAAAAATAAATTAATCTTAAAAGGTAAAACCAACAAACAAAAATCATAAGGAACAAACATACTTAATAAATCAAAAAATCACCATAGTCCTGACCATCCATTGGACACACCACTGAACAAAGTAGCTGCACCAAAGGCATGTTCTTGTTCCTACACATGTCGGGCAGCTTCAACCATCCTATCCAGCCGAGAGTCATTACTACTACATCATCTCTACTGGTTCATGCATCCTGCCTGCTGCCAAGTACCTCCTTTGGGCCTGCCCAACCAGCAAAGCACTCATACTCACTATTCAGTGAAGAACCGGGCAATGCCATACTGGCTAATGTCCTCCCTGTGCTCCAGCAACTGGCACACTGCATCCTCCATGTAGGTAAGCACATGTCGTTGAGCTGCAAACAGAAAAGAAAAAGTAAGGAAAAATGGGAGAGACTAAAAAAACAAATTTCTTCCAAACCCAATAAAAATCCATGGAAGTCAAGGTGTCATTTCTGTCCTGGCGGGGTGGAAGAGAGACACAGCTCGCTGGCCATAACTGAGCTATGATCCCAAAGGGTGAAAGAGATAAGTGCAAAACATGACCTACTGCAGCCTAACTAGCCATCAGCACCACCTTCTACTCTTGTTTTCAATAACCAAGGGCTGAGCCCCTCTGTCCTCTCCATAACTGAGCTATGATCCCCACCTTCTACTCTTGTTTTCAATAACCACGGGCTCAGCCCTCTGCCCTCTCCCATCTGTGCATGGCCAGATACATTCCAGGAAACAGATGATCTGATCATAAAGAAAATTCAGATCTCTAATTTTTAAAAGTTACTGGAAAAGGCTAAGGAACACGACAATTTCAATGCTGTTACAGGTGGACATTATTAACCTTGGGAAACAGCAAAAATTTATTAGGTACACTTATTGTTAGATATACACAAGCTGCATTTGGCCGGGTGGTGGTGGCACACGCCTTTAATCCCAGCACTCGGGAGGCAGAGGCACGCGGATCTCTGTGAGTTCGAGACCAGCCTGGTCTACAAGAGCTAGTTCCAGGACAGGCTCCAAAGCTACAGAGAAACCCTGTCTTGAAAAAACAAAACCAAAAACAAACAAACAAAAAAAAACAACCAACCAATCTGCATTTGTACTTACTGGGAAATGTGTGAATTAATCCACAAACTTGTCAAAAAAGCTTGGCATAGAAAGACAAGTATCAAAGCGACTGAGGAGAGGATCAGAGGGGACTAGGACACAGAGGGAAGAGAAAGAAGGGTGGATATGATCAAAGCATGATGTACATACAGAAATGGAAACATCACAATAAAATCAATTAGTTTGTATAATAGTTAACAATAATGTACAATAATAATGTTAATTAAAACTTATTCTTTTAAAAAAAACATCTATCTTGTAAACATAGATAGAGATAGGTAATAGAGGTAGAGAGGCAGATTTATTTGTTGCTTGTTTTTTTGAGACAGAATCTCATTATATAGCCTTGGCTGGTCTGAAATCACTAAGTAGACTAGGTTTGGCCTTGAACTCAGAGAGATTTACCTGCCTCCCTCCCAAGTGTTAGGACTAAGGGCATGTGTCTCTGTGCCCCGTGTAATAGTATATTAAAGTCATAAAGACCTGGGTTCAAATGACTGCTTTTTGCAGCTTAACTTTGAATAGTTACTTAACTTACATTTGTATGAGGCTTTATCAAGTGTACAAAGCTATGTAATTTAACTCTGTAGTAAAAACAAACAGAAGAGTTACAAAGAAGTAAAGATGCTTGTAACCCTGTCTTGAGAGTAAAGCTAAAAAATAATGCATGCATGTCAAATTCTAACACTGTTCTCAATAACCTCCTACTCAAGTATATTAAACTAAGAAGAAAAACCCAGCCAGGCTAATATTACAACACAGTCATGTTTCACCGCTGTACCCCCTTCTTTTCTTCTACCTGCTTCACAAAACCCTTCCTTCCTTGGGCTCTCTGGCTTCTGATGACTTACCTGCACCTAAGGAAAGTACAAGAAATCAGTATGCCCTCCCCCGTTTCACTTCATTAGAAATGAAAGAACGTCTACTTAGAAGCAATCCTGCTCCTTCTCCTCCCTAGCTCCAGGGACTGAAAGTCAGTGGGAATGTTTTTGTAATAGTTAGAGTCAAAGTATTTTCATCCTAGGGGCAAAAAAGGAGAATTTTTTTTTAAATAGACTGGAGGGGGGTAGGATTTTGCCTGTTTAACATTTATCATTCAGTCAGACACTTAGTTTACTATATTACAAATAATACCTACTATTTTGAGCCCCTATCCAACTTATTCAACAATGTGCCAGATAATGTATTAATTGTTCTAATGCATAATTTTATTTAATATTAGCAAGAATCTCATGGTAAGTATTTGAAGACTTCTATTTTACAGTTGGAATAGCTGAAACTTCAAAGAATTAAAGCAACATGCTTGAGATCACATAGCTAGTAGTAAGAGAAGCTGAGATTCAAATCAAGGTTTGTCTTGTCCAAGCACCCATGCTCTTCACAAACGCCTCATCATTAACACTTCACAACAAGCCATGGAAGCAAAGTTATCTTCATGTTACCAAGAGCAGAAGGCACGAATATAGCAAAATCCCCTGAGGGATGTGATCTAGTCCTGTCCATGTGAACTGTGGGCATACATGTACATACATGACTGTCACGTGTGTGAGCACCTTATTATCCTGTCCCTGCCTGCATACAGACCAGCATCTGTGTGAAGTCAGGACTTGCCTCCAAATTTCCAAGTGTCTTACCAAGAACCAGTCACTCTACCACAAGGTATTCACCCCACCCCTTTGCAGGTCACAAAGTGGAACTAGAAAGCACTGCTGCTTTCTTTAATCTGAGCTAAGGGTAGGAGTTAAAAAAGAGCCACAGAGACAGGAGGGAAAGGCTCCTCGGTGGGAATTCCGGCCAGCCAAGAGGAAGTGTGGAGCTCTCTCTAACCGCTCTTCCTGTTCTCTTCACCTGTAGCTCTTATCAGTTCCGTGCTCTCTGTGGTTAAGTGTACCACCCAGCCCAGAAAATCCTTACAGTGGCTCAAACTTCAATGAGACTCAGTAAGTCCAAGGCTCTGGCCCAGCAGTAAATGCGGAGAACGCTGCTTTGCACCGCTTTGGAAATGCAAAGGAGTCGTTTTAATTGATGTGAGCGATTAAAGAATTCAAACAGCACACCTGCACCCCCGGAGGGGAAAGATATCTGGGCACCTGAGCTGCCTTTTTGGAAAAGGAAAAGCATTTCAGACTGGCTTTTCCTCTTCTGCTTTGCCGTGACTTCCACAACACGGTCAGGATTAAGTCTTCCAACCCGTACCAATAAGGTTTCACCGTCCTGAAATCCCCATTAACACCTAGTTGCAAAAATCATGATCTGATAGCATTGTCTGAGATAGACATTTATACTTTCATCACGCTAAAATGAAAAATCCAAGTAAAATGAAGTATAAGTAAACATTGCCTAATCTTTTATATGAACCAAGGGAGTAATGGAACTGTAGATCAGAAATTTCTTGGTTCTGTTGACTCGGACTATGCTGGTCACACTACCTCTTCATACCACAGTGGCTCCTGCTTTTAAAATGACTGGGACTAAAAATGTGTCTGAAGAAAAAAAAACTGCTTTAATCCAGCACTCAGAAGAGGCAGGTGGAGCTCTGTGAGTTCCAGGACTAAGTAGAAAGACTCTGTCTCAAAAAACAAACAACAACGACAAAAAGGTTTCTATATCTATAATAATTTACATAATCATATACCCATTCTAGTTAGGACTTTTAAACCTGTGGGAAGCACTCACTTATTAACTGCTAATTACTTAGCAGGCCCTAATTTCCACGGGGAAAGTCCACACTGATTTCCCTTTGCTCTCCTCCCAGACACAAACACCATCAAAGCGCCAGCTGTTGATTTCACAGTTAAGCGATAAGGGAGCCTATTTGGGGATTCCTGCTTGAGGGGTCTAGAATTTCCACCCACAGCATTAGTTACACCATTTCCACTTTTAAATTATCATCTAAAACGGTCTTAACACTTGAATAAACAAGTCTTACCAGAAATATATTAATGAGTTACTATACATGCTATCAATAAATACAAGGAAGAGCCGGGCGGTGGTGGCGCACGCCTTTAATCCCAGCACTTGGGAGGCAGAGGCAGGCGGATCTCTGTGAGTTCGAGACCAGCCTGGTCTACAAGAGCTAGTTCCAGGACAGGCTCCAAAACCACAGAGAAACCCTGTCTCGAAAAACCGAGAAAAAATAAACAAATACAAGGAAGTAGCAATGTAGGAAAAAGCAGGGTATATGTATACATATATTACACATATATTCTATCTTAAACCTGACTTTTTCCTCTCATTCCAGAACTTTTGTGAAGCACACTTCATTCTTTGTGCTCTGAAGACTCAAATGCTGAGGAGCAGAAATAAATGTTAAACTAAATTCAAACTGTTCTTTAGGATGAGGAATCTGAGTCTGCTCAGCCACCAGCCTGTCATGTAAACTGCTTATATGTCTCAAGTTCAACATCATTTATAAATTTCTAATATCATCCTATACATGATCATGTAAAGTACAAACAAATAGCTAACTGGATTAATAAGTTTCTAGACTTCTAGGTTTACTGTTTGCATCTTCCATCTTTATTTGTATTATCTGGGTCCTAGAAAACAGTGTGTTCAGCTAAAACATTTTATCTTCTGCAAGAACATCTTTGATCTTAGTCCACACTAAACCAATTGCCCTTGACCAAGGGGGATGAGGAAATGAGAAAAAACTATCACATTTAATTCCCATACAGCTCAGTGAAGCAGACAGCAGAGAGAGGTCAGGGAGCCAGCTGAAGTCTGCCACTGGCAGAGAGATAGGATTCACATCCAGGTTTGATCCTAAAGCTAACGTTCTTCCATTTGACATTATTGCCTTTCAAAAACAAACAGCAAGTTGGTTTACTCCTGAAATTCCAGCACTCAGGAGGCTGAGGCAAGAGGATTGTTGCACATTCAAGACTAATGAGGGATATACAACAAGACTGTATCAATGAAACAAGGGGGGGGGGGACAACAAAATAAGAAAAGCCCCAAATCTTTCGTGTGTCCCTTCTAACATGTACTTAGCTCTTCACTACTAACAGTAGGAAGGTGCTTAATGAGTAAACGACACAGTTAAGTTATGAACTCTAATAAACACCTCTAGGCTTTTGTCTCTAGGCTTTCAAATTATACTCTCTAATTTTGTTTATGGCTTCAGATGACACAGATAAGATACAGACGAGTGGATGGGTGGCAGTTCTCCTCAGTTTAAGAGGCAGACTTTCTTCATTCCTTTCTCTAGGTTCCTTTCTTCTTGAGACAGGGCCTTAGGTAGTCCAGGCAG